TGAGCATATGGATCTCTTCTTGGAAAACGAAAACGGTTCTGAAGAAAGTAAAGGCGCCGAGTTGTTAGCCAATGAATGACAAAGAATTCGTGTTAACAACCTCAAGTAAGCTCTTAAAATACATTTCATATGAGTAGTTCTTTTGAATAAGTGAAGTGCAGGTCGTTTTAGCAGTTGATTGTTTATGAGTACTACATGGGTTGGATAGAGGACGGATAGCACAGTGGTAGTGATGTCTGTCACCACAAGCATGATGCTAGTTCGATTTCGCCCCAGGCCAACTAAGCCTGTCATCCTTCGGTGTCAGGAAGTTGGTACCGGACTTGTCTGGGAAAAAAAAATCACTCTCTGCAATCCAATTGGGAATGCTCCAGCCCAGTTATGTCAGAACACCAGGGAGAAATGCATGACCAGCATTCTACGACATTCAAGCTGAAATAGAAATCGTCAAGAACAATAGAAACTACACGTAAAAGCTGTAACATCTTCGTGGACAATGGATATCAGGAAACGAATCGAATGTGAAAAGTATTGGCATCGGCACAGTAGACGTGAAGATGGATCATGCAAAATATAACTTAAATAAAAGAAAATAGGTTGGATAACTAGCACTAATTGGTATAGTCAATCGAATTCACTTGAAACGAAATCCATGAGAAAAAAAACCGTCTTAAAAGCGGGAGAAGATCAAATTCGCACCTCGAAACCATCGGATAAAGTGGTTCTGACAGGTCTATTTCAGTGAACGGAGTGCACAGGTAACATCCGTTGCGATAGAAGCTGATTCTTTTGCCTGGACCATCGAAGAGAATGCCAACCACGCAACTAAAAAGAATGCGGTAAAATCGTTACAAGCCATAGTATCGTTACAACATGCCTTTATGTTTCTATATAAAGGCGAACACATCTGCGAAAATCAAAAAAGAATAACATGGAGCTCATTATACGCATTAAATTCCTTCGGGAGATAAGAGTTCAATTTGGTAAGACATGAAGACGAAAGCAAATTTGTGAAAAATGTAGAGATCGATTTTTATTTTGAACACAACTATGTCCTTTGCTTAGCAATTCACAGAGTTGGAAGCTCCTGAATTCACTCGCTACAATCTTAAGCTTCTAACAATTCAGCTACGCTTTTTTAAAATTCGTATAAGCGGCTATCAGCTATCAGGCGCCGATGTTCATGTCGTTTCGGTTCTCTTCAAGTCCTCAAATTCTTCTTCAAAACTTCTTCAAATTTCATTTCATTACCTGCGACACGATCACACTACAATCGGAATCAATACCAAAGGAACAACTTGGGAGGTGTTAGGCAGAATAGCGTGCAACAAGCACACAACGAACGGCTTCGAAGGCACTGTAGAGTCGCTCAACGACTAGATGCTATGCGCCATATTTGAACTTAAACGTCCCGTTAGTTGTAAATCTATTCAACCCACAACTACTCCCATCTTCCCATATACCTCCTGAATCCAAAAATATTACAAGTAAAGCGTAGGTGTGGTCAAAGTTCTTTAACGTCTTATAAGAAGATAACGAGTGTCACTTCGTTTAATTAAATGAGTGGGGACAGCCGGTGATATCATCACCAAAGATCATGAGGGTACTGCATTGCCAGAGTTGTTTAAAGTCAGAGAAGCCAAAAGAGTGACGCGATTTTCTGAACGACAACCACTCCTACAAAACTTATCGTCGTGGAAATGTCAAGCATATTCGGGATGTCAAACAAAAACTTCACTCTAATAGATTTGAAAGTCAGAAATCTGCACACAGGTCCACCTATGACACAAATGCTGTGCTTATAACAGTACACCTTATGGCCGGAAAAAGGTTGACGAAGGGGAGAAAGAAATTGGGTCAACCAAGTCACTCGATGGTTAAAGAGGAGAATTAATGATAGGTACAGATAATATCGCTCGTGAGATGCAGGGATACGGTATTGATTAGAAAAGCGAATATGGAGAAAAATCCTCTCACAGTTTAACGTTCTCCCTTCGTGTCTGGGTCTTTGGGCTTTGAACATCGTATAACATAGGTATTGGAAACGTTGAGAGTGCTTAGTAGTTTGATCTGTAGTAGAAACTCCTTGAGTTAAAAATGGCACCACTGCCTCGTTTTCCGAGTCATGTGTGTATGTATTACAAATATACTGTCTTGTAAATACATGCACTGCGTTGAAAATGTTCCATATTGTTTTCATACAGCTCCAGTATTTCGAGTTATCGGCCCGGAACAATTGGCCGGATTCATCACAACAAGCGAATTTTTAAATGTTTAGCTCAAACACTTTCGGATTACGATTAAGAATCTTTTATCTTATGCGCGAAAAAACACTAAGCACATTTCTCATCTTACTCTCGATATGGTAGCGGGTCGCAGACGGCGACTTCGATCGCGCAGTGTCTCACGAGTCCTTTTTGGTTGAGACCGTAAGATTGGTCGTCTTCGCCCAGCAAATCCACGAACTGCGATCGAGCCCTGGTCTGCAAACAACAATATAAACTTTCCCCGATGTTCAATTTAATATTTACATAATAATTTGAACTAACATCCTTGCAATACTTCCTCCCCGTTACAAATATAGATTGAAGAACTTCAAATTATGAGCATCTATAAGGCACTTCTTTCTTAACGATTCGAACAATCTACAGTCAAAATTGAGAAATGTGAATAAGTAAAAACTGGATCGACGTAGGAACTAAACTCCTTCATTAATTCAGGTAGTACCCCGGCACGAAAAAAGAATAAGCAGTAAAGAAAAGTTGAAACACTGTGATTTCCACTGCAGCTTCATCTTAACTGAGTTCAATGATGATTCGTGCTCTCCAGATCATACCCGCTAACGGGTATTTGCTGATAGCCCTGTAGATCACGGGTTCTAAGCGCAACTAAAGTTCCGAGTTTACTCATATCTCAGAATCCTTGTGATTGTATCTCGCATTGTACCCCGCCAAGAAAAAAGAGTAGGCAGTAAGTAGAAGCTAAAATATTGTCTTTCATTAATATTATAAAGTGGCAAAAAGTTAATAAAGCGTTAGGCGTTGACCATTCCTTGAAGAGTGCGCCATGTATTCGTTTCATCAAGCATCGTTATAAGTAAGTGAATGCACAACTTGTGGTGCCCTTTTGATGTATCAAGGCAGTGTTGCTGTCCTAGTAGATATGTGTGGGTTGCTACAAATATGGTCACCCTGGGGGATCCAGTGGTTGGTGAGTTTGAAGTGCGCGATTGACTCAAGGACCATGTGTGTACTACTGGGCACTAGCCATTCCGCTACACGAACCTCATTACAATGTGGCAATGTTACTAATGGAGAATAGGATAAAAACTCGATAATATCCTTAATTCACAGAGAAACAAGGTGAAAGCGACCATTACTTCCGGTAGATATCACAGAAACGGATAAGACAAGTTCTGTGTTCCAATGCCGCCCATATTTGCTCAAAAGAACGGCCAGCACACGTTGCCAGCTTAGCAGAATCCACTTCCGCCGAATGCCGACTATCAAAGATGGAGCGAGTCAACATCGCTGACCGCCAGGCCCGCTCGACCGGCTCGGCAAACAGATGAGACGCTGTGCAGCAAGCACGACATCGGACTGCTTCCATCAAACGAAATAGCCGATGTTAAACTGATGTTGAATTCGTGGAAAACACGGACTAAACGAATGGAGTGCCATTGAAAATATTCTACGCCTTCGTTAAACCCGAATCTCATTTTGTTAACTTACACATAAACGCAAGCCTACGCAATCTTCCACTTTTAGACTTTTAAACTAGTTCTTTAATTGCTGGTAAGTTAATTTCACTTTTTCTTTTTGAAAAACCCAAATACCTCTTTCGTTACGTACAAATCTTCCTCCTATACTTCGATTGGATTTACGATTCTGGTTTCCACTAAAGTATACGTATAAGGTTCCTCCTAAGGGTTTACCACCTCAGCGTGGCTGGGAGGTGTTCTGGGTGCCGGGCTTCGATTTACAGCGGAGGTATTCATCCCCTCAGCAAGGTATCCCAAGTTAAGAAGAAGTCCGACGTTTCCACCAGGAAACCCAGCTAAGAGTAAACCAATACCACGATCCACCACCGCCCTCGTATCCAACAAGTCGCACGGTTGCAAACCTCCCTCTGATACACAAGAACGGCAAATGCTTGTGGTGGCAACGACCTGGGGCACACATTGCCTATGTTGACCTCGGAACTCCAAGGAACCACAATAGCTAAATCGGAAAAACTCCGAAAAATGGAAATTATGCTGGGACAGCAAAATCAGTGAAGACGGGCCATCCAAGTATCCAAGTAAGTATACGAAAGGGTGTTAATGCTGTGTGTGAGCGTTAGAATGATCGTTGACGGAATCTACAATACGAGTACAACTGATGCATTAATATTGAAGTGTCGAATTTTTCTGCACTGGTTTGATTCCGGAAAGAATCACCTATACTGAGCAGTTGAAATGTTTTGTAAGCCAAAGCCTTGCTCGAGGGCTATAAACCTCAATCTCAAGGCTGTTGGTACGTATTTGAACACTCTTAGTGGTCGATATGTCAAACCCTTTTCGTTATATGATCTTGTAGTACTGGTGGCGAATACGTGAATGACACAGTAGTTCATCAATCTCGGAACCTTCAGGAAGTAAACGATGCAAGAGCATAGGATTCGTGAAATTGGGCTGATGTTTGCCGCTTTAAATTCCATCAGAGGACTTTCTTTGCGCCTAAACGTTGGTTGTGTGGATGCATTAGCTAAGCTTTTCTCTTTGTGATCTTGCCGGTGTTACTGTACTCGTCGTAGCTCAACATTACGAAAAAGTGGTTGCTAGCGAACCAAACGTGACGCAAATCATAAATTATGGAATGAATAGAGCAAAAATTCTGTCGAAGACTGATTTCCTTATTTTGTTTTGCAAGAGATGATCAAAGTTTACTAATTACGGCGACAGAAACTTATGAGCTCAGAGCTGGGGTTAGCATGGCCGTTTGTCAGAATAGCGCCCTAAATTATGCCGCAGTGAAATCCGTAATTGCACCCCTTACCGCGGCATGTTTGGTGCCGACACCGAACATGATAGACGTTCCGAAGAGGTTCTGACACACTCTCGTGTCCCAGTAGACGATCGAGGAGGCCGTTAGCTGCCTGGCCCCGCGGACTCCGGCGGTCCCGAACGCGTACACCGGGTGGAACAGCACCTCGTTGCCATAGACCGCAGTTTCTAGGTTGCTCTGAAAGTAAACCTAGCAATCCTTCAGCTCTAGTGAAATGTTTAACCACATTTTCAAAACCACGTTCGACCTAAGTTTCATGAAAATCCTAATCGATATCTTCTATAAAGAACGTGAAAGAAAAGGATTCATAATAAAAACCCTATTTAGACTTTTTCTGAATAATGGAATATCAAAGACACTTTTCTTCGGCATTTTTCTCTCCTCACATACTTTTGTCTATCACATATTACGTTTGTTAGGAATAGTTTGCTGTGACGTCACAAGTGGTACAGTCATTTGAACTCCAAACAATCTTTCCACTAAGTGCAATGTAAACACCGTAAGCAAAGATAAGAATACTCGCACAATGTCTGCTGATCCTCAAGGCGTTCGCTATTCGCTTGTGAGGTATGCACGCGATTAAGCAGTTCGTTTACTAGAGGTATATCCACCCACCAAACATTACCTAAGATATACCTTATCTCTAGTACAGCTAACCGTAATCATGGCAATACTATTATTGGGATGTGATGTCTTCACAGCTTACGACTACACAATAAACAGAGTCAACATAATTGATATAGATCGGACCTCTATTATTCCATGCGACATTCACTTCGAGACCACAAGTCAAACGAAGTCCATCATACAGCTTATACAGATCGTAGAAAAAATCGATGTTAAAGTCACTTTATGTAAAATCCGTATAAAACGCCATATTCATTATTGCGGAATGCACAGTCATACAAGCGAAGTCGCAGGAGGCATTGCTGATTATATATGCGAATTACGACCACCATCATGCAATGAATTATCGCTTAGCGGATCATTAAGACTGACAAACAATATTATAATAGCAGATATCAAGAAAAATACTGTCAGTATGCGATCACTTACGCTAGCAGGCTACATAAGACCCGACGGAACCTGTAAAGGAACTATGTACAGCGACCAATTCGGATCGTGGCAGAATGTTGTAGCCCAAGGAACCATAGAGACTAGTCTTAAAGAAATTGTAGCGCCTGCTAACACACAAAAGGATCAAATACATATGCCAGGAGGTCTTGTGTATAAGTGGTGAACAGAAACGTGCACTGACTTTGAAGCAGAAGCAAACTGGAATTAAGTGCCGATTTCCGGATGCTCACCACATCGACATGAAGTCATTTACGAAGGACCTGCTGTAGTAACACAACTCATACAGATCCTTTACAGGCCATTAGAATCACACACACTGTCGAACAGGAGGATAAGGTATTCGCATTACGTAGAGTAGGCCCTTGTCAAGGATGTGCAATTGGGGCATGGACAACGGAACATCGAAGACTAATAGTTGCCCATCAATTAGGAGGATTTTTGTCCCAAAAATCAGAAACATCTCCTGTAATATTTGATCTCATGCTGTACGTAACTGCAAAATTCGTGTATTTTGATCGAACGTGGGCATGGAATTTCATCGCCCTTAGCAACAAAATCGAAACACAAAAATGTGAATTGGAACGACGCACACGTAAAACACAACTAGCAATAGCTTCCTTAAACCCCGACGAATTTCCCTATTTATACATGGAAGGACCTGGCTACATCGCTAATGTAATGGGAGAGGTCATCTAAATATCTAAATGTCCCATGGTAAATGTCTCAATACGATGCCTACATGGTTGCTATCTAGAACTCCCAGTTACGGTGAATAATAAATCCAGGTATATGCTCCCACGAAGTCACCTTCTTACACGCCAAGGAACTGAAATAAACTGCAACCCAGTACTAATGGCAAAATATCACATATTCGCATCATGGATCATTTATACAGCAGTTGCTAGTGGAATTTAGGTTAACGTATTAAAGAATACATGGAACCTAATTTCCACTAGCAACTGCTATATATATTGGTGCATTGGCCTAACTACTATATTCTGTGCACAGGTCTAAAGGCAATAATGGTGCATTGGTCTAACCGCTATACCATTAACGATGCAGTGTGTTAGAAGATGCATGCCTAGTCCCTCACAGAACGATAATTGGTGGGCACACGAAACTCACCGGCTCTTTAGAAAACGACCAACTGTCCGGAAACAGCTGTGGAACTCGTGGAGATTCTGCTGGACAACCGGAGTAGTCCACTCCCTCGGACATCTGCAATCAGCCCATATCAATGGACACGCTACGAAAGGGGGAAGAGTCGAGTGCACATGAGAATATCATTGCTAATGAAATTCAGCGAAAAGTTGGATCGTTCACTACCAGAATTCAAACAGGTGCTTTTCACCAAAAAACCATTTAGGTGAGGAAAAACACAATCGTAATTTCACGCAAGCGACGTGGCTGGTGTAGTCAGCAAATTTGCGGTGACCACATCCACGATGACGTGGATTCTACAGCAGAGACCGACGCGCAACATGGCGAACATGTGAGCTCACGGAGACACTTCGCAGCTCCAAAATCACGGAGTTCTTCGCTTGGAAGACGGCAGTGGAGGATTCAGATTTTGAACGGGCGAACATCACACGACCTACACCACGACGACAGGTTCTGGAAAGTCCTCAGTTCACCATGAGGTCATCACGAAGACAATGAACTCCTACGGCGAGGTGGATGAGGAGCTGGCCGGCTCGTAGGCGACGAGGCTTAGCTCACTCTCGATCGATACGCAGCACAGCTGGCGCCGCGGCTTACGCGAGGGTGTTCGGAAGACCTTCCACGCCTCCGAAACGAATTAATTATGGCGCAGAGGAAACGCTGAGGTGAACTCAGGACAAAAGCCACCTCGGCCTAACATTTTTGCATCTTTTAAAGTTTAAATAAATGCGCGACCAATACCAGGACCTACCACCGCTTTGGTATCATAGGTCGCATTGTGGCAAATCTCCCTTTGATGCACAAGGGCTGCGACTGCCTGTTGTGGTGAAGACCTGAGATAGATTTTAGCCAAGGTGATCCCGGGGTTCCAGTGAACCACAACGGTTTAGCCAGCAAATCTCCGAAAAATGGAGGTGATGCTGGGGTCCGCACAACTATTGAGGACGGGCCGTTCAAGTATCAAGTATCAAGTATGTAATAAATACACGAACGTCGTGTTGACATCTCTTCCGGATGTGGTGTTTGCTTACTTCGTATTAAACAGAGGACTCAATGATAACCCGGCAATCCCCACCAGGTTAATCTTAGGTGGATGTAATAAGAATTCAAGAATATTCTATTACAAACTGAAATTATGGAAATTTTTACTTTATTTGGATGGTGATGGACCCGAAGTCGTTTCGGTGCACTCAAATAGTAAGACGATGATGACTACAGTGAAAATGGCAAGCACATAGAAGTTGTTCTCTGCAGTAGGCCAACAAGGATAAAATACCTAGATCTGACTTGATGTACACTGATTCTACCCGAAAATCATCACAGTATCAAAGTGATTAAACACGTACACACCTTTGAATGGGATCTGTGCATCCACGCCCTTACGTAACGAGGCATAGATGAGCGATTCTCAAGTATGAAGAAGTCATAAGAGAATAATGAGGAACAATTCAGCCCAGCAACACTCACAAGTGTACATTCAAGCCAAGTCCCTACCTATGCAGCATAGTCATTTGCATAATCACAAGCATCCTACTTGTATATAATGCCCATCCCTGACTGATCCTCTAATACTCAACAAGAGCAAATGGAGGCCATATTGGCACCTGACCGAATTACTCGGTGATCAACGTAATCTAATTACGAGTGAAACTGGCAATTGAGTGAAAATAAATCAGAATGTGTTAGAGAGGAGGAAAATCTAGCAGAGTACATCAAAGTCTTTCCTCTATTCATGCAACGAAATCGAATACTACATGGGACAGCGTTTTATCTGGGAGTGAAAGATTTTACGAGCCATCCACTAATTAATTTTTATCAAATTGAGGACGGAATATTAGCATGCCTTCCTAAATCTACAAATTTCGAAGCATAAGAAGAAGAAGCAAAACGTGCTATTTCACTGCAGTAGGAGTTAGGGTTAACGCAGGGTCTTGATGTGTTCAAAATTCTGTCTTAGGCACGAAGGCGGTCAAGTAAACGGGTGAGCTCCAGTGTAAAAAAAAAAAGTAGGTCTAGATAGAAACTATGAGGGCAGTGATTTGTTTCAATACAGAGAGGAACAAAGAAAATCAGCAAACGCTCCTTAAATAAATTGTTAAGGAGGAGAGCTGTTTGACCAGAGCTTATGACCCGTTGACCTCAGCGGCAAGTCTTAGGCGGTTAGTGAAAGAAACCTAAGCGATATTACTGAGCGTGGAAAAGGCTTGTTCTATGAGGAAATGCTTAGTAGCTAGAGTAGCTTGTGGTGTTCCATACCTTTGTCTGGCGCAGATGTTTACTTATCCTAACAAGCGGACCTGCTGCGCTGTGTGTGTGCGTGCCAAATGAACTCGTCAGACATTCACTGACCACTTGTTGAACAGACGTACCTCTCCTTAACTGGACAAAAACATGTGGATGCAGAACTTATCTATTGAGCGAAGAATTTTATTTATGCTAAATAGCTCACAAAGCTTTATTCTCTGCTTTGTTTACCTGTGTTAAAGAGACGACAAGGTCCATAGTGGCTTATCTAGAGATGTATATAAATGTTCAATTCGTTCGTCCATCATCGCCTTAACTTATGCTTTGACCGATCTAACTAATTTGTCTCTTGGGTTTTTTAACATAACCTGAGCTTGAGACGTTCACTCACACTTGTTCATTCGTGCACAGCAGTTGTGGTGATGTTAACTAGTACAGAGAGATGCTAAGTAATTTTGATTAAGTATTATTACTTAAGTAAAAGATCGTGTTAGTTCCAGCGACGATTAGATATGCATTTCTAAATTCGGTTTGCTCCGGATTCTCATTCAGCTTTTGAGGGCTGCACATTTGACAGGTTATTGTGGTCGTTCAGAAAGCACGTGTAGACAGACAGACAGAGACATAAGATTTTAGTATCTTTGCAGAAAAAAAAGATGAAGGCTGATGCATTAATTTTTTCACTGACATAATGTTGGCTTGACTTCTGCTGCTCCGACTTCTATGTGGGAATCTATATGATGTCAGAAATGTACACGGCCTAACAACCATTGAGGTGTCGAATGTTTCTGCGTAATCATAACGTCCCTTTTGTTGGCAACACACTTCTTGACTTCAAATTTTCACATCTTTGAAATCACCTGAGAGATTCATGAAAGAATTCAGACTTTTCGCTAGACGAATGGGGGCTTTTCGAACGCAGAAGTGTCATTCAAACAAAATTTCTAGCCTTCTTTCAGATCTTCATTGATGACATATCGAAACTCATCTGCGAAGTAGCCCTGAATGAATGTTGGGCACAATCAGTATCCACTTTGAAGGTGCGTGATGGGAGTTCGGCATGCGTTACAACGTTGGCAAATGCTCATATAGAGGTACCATAAACCTCATTTTCAAAAGCGAACTCTTCTGAGACGACTGACATATTCATTTTTTGGCTGATTCCCCTGGAGTCGTGGGATGGACGTACTAAACCGTTCCCATGTCTTCGTCATAGGTAGCCGCCGCGCTTCGTCGTTCGCAAGAAGTTATTCCCAGATAGGTCTGGTACCATATTCCGGACTCCAGAGACATGGGAGATTCGTATAGTGAGGACAGGACTCAAAACAGGGTTATGCGCATATCTAAGGACATCTTTATTACTGTGCTACCAGCGCCTCATATATTTATTGAAAGCTGTTGAACTAAATTTCCCGTCCAAATTTGCTGCCTACCATATATTGTATTATAAAAGGGCAAGCGTTACGTTCTTCATTTAGCCAGCGAGAATTTCTCCTTTTTTAACGTCATAAGATGATTTAGCATCCAAAAAAATGAAGCCACACGATGTATATATCAAAGGAAAGGTTCATTCTTAGACTTGGTACGTGCTCGCGTTACCACGGTTTCCTAAATAAAGAAGGTTTTTTCCATCTTACTACGATCCTTTTTATCGTAAACTAAAAATTACAATCGTCGGTACTGTTCACCGGAATCATCTCGGCTGAATATTGTGCCTCTTTCTTAGATAAGATAAAAGCTGTCGGCCTTGATCAATCCCTGAGGAATGCGCCATGCATTCCACCTCATTAAGCATCGTTGGAGGTGACTGAATGAATCTCTGGCCTTTACAATGGCTCACATTGTCCTACCGATATATCATGTCAATGCCACTTTCCTCCCAAGTAAACTTGATACCAATTTGCCTAACTCGGATGGATGGAAAGTTTGGTGAGCCTGGGGAGTGGGAATCGATCCCGTGTGTATGGCACGGCGCCTCCGACCACTGCGCTACATGCCCCTTAGGTACGATGCAACCCAAAAACACTACTTTCTAAAATAGTTACAATTCGTTCCAGCTTGCTTGAGCATTCCGTGTGACATGCTTAAACCAGCGATGTATTGAATTTTATTGCTCATTACCGTCGTTGGTTAACGTAACTCAAAATCTAGGTTTCCTTCAGCGTCACGAATCTCAGTTGATGACTCACAATTAAGTGCAGATGTGATGTTCACGCATAATATGCCAACACATGACCGTCGACGCCCATTTTTGTGTTTGCCGCGTTGGACCACGCCCAGTTCCATGTCAAGTCATCCATCATTCGAGCACATATCACTATCAGTGATATCACTGATACTAAAGTGACTATAAGGGACAATGCCAGTTCTCGGAAAATCGAGACAGTAATTATTCGACACTATTATTACTACATGTTATTCGACAACCACAAGTCATAATAACCATTGGAAATGAGGTAACAGTCAATTGCTGATGAAGAAATAAACTTTATATATCTCATATAACGGATAACAATGGCTCCACGATAACTAGAAAACTCACAATGTTGAGAGTTTAACAGACGTATAGAACAGACTCTACTTCTACGATCTTAATGGTTCGTATGCCGTATTTTCTGACACATGACCATCCAGAAGTCTACGGTTTTGAGTTGAATTCATTGGCCATCCAAAACTCCTCATCAAAAATGAGCTTGGAGGTGTGGAATACGACACGCTGTCTGTTGAAGATTCTGGAGAAAGTGAATCAGAAGATACTTAGGCTAACTGTGATGACGGTCATGACAAACTCAACGGTGAGTGATCGAACCATG